GAACTGATGTTTTGCGTTTGTGTTTCATTCAAGTTTAATGATTTAACTTATTGCTGCAAATGCCTTTTAGAGAATTCATAACACAACATCTGGAAAAACAGCCTTCTTTAAATCCCTCACATTTAGAGAAATTCACCTCTGCTAAATGTATATCCAGTGTTATGTTTCCTCACAACAGATCGGATTTAAATACAGATCTGAGATCATGGTTGATCAGTTCTTGCCATCATTAGCGATAGGTCTGCAGTTGAAATAGAGTAAATATTATAATTTGTGATTGATTTACACTTGTCAGTAATGGAGCATACTGTCCAAATAAGTACGTCAATAACTGAGAAATAGAACAAACATTGGTAACAAAGCTAAACTGTGTTCCCAGTAGACAATAGTGGTCTCAAGCACTAAAATTGTGCCACTCCCACCTTACGTAATTTCATAATACGTCTTTGAAATGATTCAGCCTTTTGTGGAACTTTTCAAGATTCAGTGAGTATCAAATGACCCCAAAAGTCAGCTCCATTATGTGGCTCTGTTGTGTGCTGTCACTTTTTCACAATATTTGTGGTTTCTAAAGAAATTTCTTAATGGGATTTGGATGGAATACTTTTGTTTTTATATTAATTTTCTTTTCTGTCTGTGTGTTCTCCCAGAGTTTTGTTGTTTTCTATGCTAAGCAAACAGAGTGTTAAATGTGTTAAATGATATGGCTTCATAATAGATATCTTCAACAGGCTAGTTTTCAAAGCTTGAAAATAATTGCATTTTATAGTCTAACTATATGGCCACTTTAAAACTTTAAAAGCTAGCCTGTTCAAGATGGCTTACATATTCCAGTTCCCTCTTACTAGTCAAGTTCCTGTACACTATATAAATGTTTAAAGTGCAATAACGTAAATGTTTGTTGTGCTTTATTTAGAAATTATTGAAATACTCATGTTCCTTTTAAAAGTTTGCAATATATTTTAAAGTACTTAATAAATAATTTGCATGTACTCGTGAAAAAGAAGACAAGACATACACCAAGTAAAGTGGATATAGAATGTATATACAGCAGTTTGCTAAATCAATATTATTTCAGTATCCTTTGCCTGAATCAATGTCAAATTGTGTGACAAGCACCCTACTGGAGTCATCAGGAAATCATCAAATAAAAAGCTGAATCAGTTGTTGCTCTCACAGAAATTTATAGTGCAGTGAATTAACAAGGAGGAGGTCTGAAAAAGAGATGGGGTTCGACAGTCAATCATACCAAGACAATATAAATTTAAATGTCCCTTTCACAAAATCAGGGTTTGAATATTTTTTTCCCTTTTTTTTCAGAGGAAATTGTCAGTATTCCTAATTTTCCAGGAAGAAAGCCAGTCTTACTCGAATGCTATGTTGTGTTTTACCAAAATAGTAAATTGTTATTAGTTATGACATTCAGGGTGATAGCTTTTAACCTGTGAAACTGATCTGGCATCTGTAACACTTGGGAACAACATGAATAGGAGCAACTTTATGAACTATGTGGAATGCAGAATAGTACATTGCCGTTATAACAGTATTAAACTAAATACATGATCACAGTTTAATTACAATCATCAGCCCTGTCTTCTGAGGCTAAGAAGTCATGACTAAGGGTATATTTTACAATTTAAACATTTTCCTGTCTGTTCAAGGTTGTGTTTAAATCTTTTATGCCAAGTAGTACATATGTACTTGATTAAGATTAAGTGCGTGTGTGTGTATGTATGTATGTATGTATGTATGCATGTGTATATATATATATATATACAGTATATATGTACGGCTAACTATATACAATGCTGCATAATATGTTTCATCTGGAAGGTGTACTGTTGGGCAGGGTCGTCAGAAGCATTTTGAATGTGGGGGGACCCTCCCCCAGGAATTTTTTTAATGAATTAGATGCCATTTCCTGCATTCTGGTGTATTTTTAACAGGTTGTTAAACACCTAATTTTGGAATGGATTCTTTTGTGATGCAATAGAAACTGATATTTTATGCTAAATGTGGGAGGGGTCCAAATGAATAATTATGAAATGTGAGGGGGGACACGTCCCCCTCAAATTTAATCTGCCCATGCTGTTGGGTAAACAGTATATGACATGCTGAACCTTTGAACTTGCAATGTTTTCATTATCTTTTAATGTGGATGTCTCGTTTTATGTTAGGAAGACGGTATAAACAGTCTACTCCATAAAACCTCCCATATGGGACAAATACCAGCTCTGTTCAGTAAAAAAGCGGCAGTAATTCCTACTTAGCTGTGCAGAAAAGCACTTTTCACTTGCATGGCATCTCAATGACAAATCTATCCTCACTGTCTATGTTAAATGTACTCAACCATGCATGTAATAAGATGATCTATGAAATGAATTATTAATTAAAATTCAGTGTTTTCAAATTATATCCCGTGGAAGACAAAATAGGGTTAGCTTTCTTTAAGATGAATTGACTGGACTGTGATCCATAAAGTCTTTTCTCCATTCAAGCCTTCTAATTCATAATGCATCCCCAAGGCTGGTGATCTGAATCCCACCATCACACCCTGGCTGGATATAACATGTTCTCCCTTGTCGCGTGGATTTCTTCGTACAGTCCAGTAACATATTTCAATTTGTGGCTCTGAATTGCTATTGTGTATGTATTTGCATTCCCATCCCATGTGCATATTTTAAAATATTTTATCCTTTTCTTATTTGGCTTGTGGCTCTACTCAGGGGTAGGCCCGTGCATATTTCGGTAGACATAGACTAGACAGTTGCAAAGGAACTGAATGAATTAATTAATGAATGAACATTACATTTATATAGCACTTTTCAAGACACGCAAAGTGCTTTTACCGAACCAATGGGGAGCCACTTCAGCCACCACCACCGTGTAGCCCCCAGCCGCATGCACCATTCTGTGCCAGTATGCTCACCACAATTATTAAATTCTGTAGACTTAATGAATTGGTACCAATGCCTCGTGCATTGCAGTGGCCTACACCCAGTTTTTGCCCTTTTATTGTCATGGTACAAAGCGAAGGCCAACTTTAGCTCAGTTTGCTTATGTAATGAAATTGCCAGCACAATTACAGCAGGGAAAGCTGCCCAGCACTGTATGCTTCGGATAACTGTATGCTTCGGATAATTATGCTTCTAGCTGAACACTAAAATATTAATTATAATGCTGCCTCAGCAGACTGTAATGTTGCTGAAACGTTTGAGGGGTGATGCAGCTGGATGCCGGGTCACGCACTCGGCCTCTCGTCACGAATCCCTTCCAGGAACAATATGCGCAAGTTGTACAGGTCAAGCTAGGGGGGAGGGGGGGGGTGGGAAACAAGAAAAAAAATGTGTTTCCCACAGTGGTTAGCTCAAAATAGAAAAGCAATAGGATTTCATCAGCCGTTCCTGATTCTGGTTTGTTATTCATCCATCCATTTTCCATGCTGCATATCTGCTGCAGACTCGATGAGTCTGGGGCAGGTGTGGACTGGCCATTGGGAAGTTTGTGAATTTTCCCAGTCAGCCCGTCTGGTTAGGGCCGGTCTTTCTTCCCAAACCCCAGCATCATAAAGCCTGTATACGACCCATATTGATCTCAGCATGTTTCCTTCTTTCCTGTGAATTGCAGGAAATGATTAATGGTTAATGCTTTGCTTCACTGGTGAACAACTGGCATAATCTGTCATGGGGGAGTCGCCCCTTTATCAGAGGCAAATTTTACCAGGCAGCACCCCCCATCGCCGGGCAGCGCCAAATTCCCGGGCTGTTTTTTGTTGCCAGTCCACCCCTGGCCTGGAGTCTGCCTATCCCATGAAGCACCTCTCTGTACACTCAGTGGACACTTCATTAGGTACACCTAGCAAAATGGGTGGGAACCACTCTTACTTCCAGAATCACTTCAAGGCTTGACATGTTGTGTGTTCCGGGAAACTATCCTGCATCCCACTGTTATACTTTGTTGTGGTTGCACATGTGGCCTTCATGTTAGCTTGAACGAGTATGGAAATTCTCCTCTGACTTCTCTCATTAGCATGTTCATCTCACCGTTCTCTGTAAACTCTAGGTGCTGCAGTGCATGAAAGCCCCAAGAGGGCTAAAAAAAAACCTTTCCTACTTAATACTTCCTCTGTCGTCTTTTTATTTTTGCTGTTATGTTATTATATTTCATAGTTAAAGCTTGCAATGTTACTTCATTTAGGGATGAAAAACATCTCAGCAGACAATTGTGAATGCTGAAACAGCAGATGGCCACCAGTAAATTATGCATCAGAGAACATAACTTGATTTTCATTTTTGAATCATTGTGATTGCCTCACTTTGTATATTGCCCAGATTAAATTCTTTTTCTCATCAGCTCTCTGAATAGGTTGTGATAAGCATCTGCGAAGGCTTGAAAATGAAATGGAATTATACTTTTCAAAAAGAGACACGAATATAATGCAGTGCCGTAAACCATGCTGCATTTTCATTTTATTGTGATGTATCCTGATTGATTTAGGCTGTTGCGTCAATCACAACAGAATATAGTGGTGCAAAATGATGTTTATTTGTGCTGTTTCAACACTTAATGCTGCCTAATACTCAGATTGCAATAGATTGCTGCATCTTACAGAATGATGAAATCAATATGAGGGATTTAAAGAAGGCTGTTTTTTCAGATGTTGTGTTATGGAAACCGTCAGACATTCAAATGCTGCCATATCTTTGAGACAAATTCAAAATTTTTATGTATGTATTTATACGTGAATCTATCTATCTATCTATCTATCTATCTATCTATCTATCTATCTATTTTTAGGAAATTGGTCTGAGAAAAAAACTAAAGGTTTCATTGAAAAAATAAGTCAATCAAGATATCGATGAACACAATAATTATTCAGTCAGATAATTTCCACCTCCAATCTACCAGGCAATTTTTAAAATGCTATATTTTGATCTTTGAGAGCATGTTTCCTGCAGTGACCAAGGTCTCTGATAGCTCTGTGGTTTTCCTTGTGACAGAAATCGACATCAATGAGCCCCCTGCCAGGAGACAGTCCCCTCCCCCAAGACTGGAAAAGCTACTTGTCTCCCCAGGGACGCAGATATTATGTCAACACCGCTAGCAATGGTAAGCACAGTATGTATTTAAAAAAGTATTCTTCATTTTGTAATAATGGGATTATCTTGTTATCTGGGATTATACTGACTCAAACAGCAAGCTGTGTGTTTTCAACCAGGTAGTCTTTATTTGCCTTCTATCCGAACTGTCAGAACCTCCGCCAGTACATATGACAGCAAATGTACAATGCGTGTGACATCAACAATATCATATATCCAGGCACTGCAGGGATACCAGTGATGGTGCAGCTGTCAATAAGATTAAATAAAAGTACTGTTCTTTCTTTTAATCCCATATATTGTATACCTTAAATTCTTCTTCAGAACTTAATGCCTAAAATCATCCATACTGTATGCACTGAGGATATGGCTTTGGTCTCCTTATTGAGGTACCAAAGGTACCACTGTATTCAATTTTCTCCTCTTGGATGTAGGACGCATTTTTTAAAAATCACAAATTATAACTGTGAGCCCTTTGTTAAAGTCTACAATCCGTATTTTTGGAAAGTCCTACCGCTTGACAGATTAAATATTTGCTTCTCTTATATTTGCTTTACTGCTGTTTCACTTTTCATTCAACTCGGACCCTAAACTCATTGCCGGTCATTTAATTGTAATTGAAATATCGGGCAGGTGGATGATCATAAGCAAAAATGAAAACTTCCGATTAAAAGTTGAAATTGAATTCTGAATAAACACAATGATTTCTGCTGTTCTATAAGCAGGCATTAATCTTTTGCAATGGGCTGGGTATATTTTAAGGACATGTGCATCTAGTGTCATGCGAGGCCTCCTCCAATGAATTATTGTCTCCTGTGAGTAATGAAGTGCAGATGGGTCTGCGTGGTACCAGCGGGTCTGAACTGATCTGAGAACCAGCACCACTATCTCCACTTGTTCAGACATTGCCTGCAGAAGCCACCAGAAGACAATTAGCGTTCTGTTTGTTTTTTTTCCCCCGAATCCCTAGCTGGCTGACTGCTCCCTAAGTTCATTCGTGCAATAGAGAAGAGACTGAGGGCTGATATCCATCAGCACAAATACATCAGAGGGGATAAATAAGAGTGTGATGTGTTTGTTTGTTATTTGTTTTTCCCAAAAGCTGGAGGCCTTCGATTGTAGCTACTACAGTTCTTGAGTTCTTCCTTTATACTTGCAAGTATGCTTACACTCTGTGTTAAAGAGCAAATGGCTAGAAATTTCACTGTAGACCATGATGCTTGGTTAGTTTTGGAAGTTGATGCTGAATGATATGGCATGTGAACAGGGCAGGAGGACATTTAGCCTTTTAAGCAGATGGTTTAGCAGATGTTGAAATGGCTGAATGATGAAAAACAGATTGACAGATTAGTGTGCAATGATGTAGATTTTGAAGGAAATGCAATTGGCAATTAATTTAATGAAAATTACATAGGTAATATTATTTATGATAGTTTTGCTGGTACTGTATGTATGGTGGTGGTGGCTCTAAGGCTAGGGATCTGTGCTAGCAACTGGAAGGTTGCTGGTTCGAATCCTGCGAATGCCCAGAATAATTGTACTCCTTTGGACCTTGAACAAGGCCCTTAACCTGCAATTGCTTCATCCTGGGTATGATGTTAATCTACATCCAGCCCTATAAGGCGGTCCTCAAACTTGCAGGAAGAAACTTGGGGGTTAGTGGCAGGATTGGCACTCCAGCCCCCGAGAGAAAAACTCCCACTGGTCCACTTGGACAAGTGTGGTGCTGAGGTATCACTCACCATATGGCAGCACTCAGGTTCTCATCCCTGAGGTGGTCTGTCATGCTGTATTAATTGTTATCCAATTATGGGGTTTTATTTATCATATTAAAAATCATTTGTAATTACACTGACATTTTTAATATGTTTATATTATTTTTACATGTAAACAGAAATTTGTGTATGGTAGAAATTTAATTTAGGTACATCTCTCAAAGGTTCTGTAGCGAATCTGCTTTATGGGATTTAAATGTGCAAACTTTTTTTTTCAAAGCAGCTTCTATAAAGATAGCCTGATGTATCTTTCTGATTCAACAAATATAATATTGATTAATAAGTTGCACGATGATGGTATTTGTTTGACAAATTGAATTGTAACATTCACATAAATAGTTTAAGAACAAGAAAAAATGTAATCCAGCTAAATAAAACTGGTGACTTTAGAAGTTTCAGTGTACATGAAGTTAAGCAAATTCTATTTTCTTAGCTAGCTGCTAAGAAACTAAATTGAGAAATACAGACTGCAAGCACCACGGTATTAAATAAAGCTTGTGAGGGGTATTTTTAGCCTGCCTGCTGGCTCAGTGGGTCGCACTGTTGCTTCACACCCCAAGGGTTGGCCGTTTGAATCTCACCTCCACGCTGTGTTAATGGAGATAGCATGTTCTCTCTGTGTCATGTGGGTTTGGACAGGTATCCCATGTGATGGACAGGTATCCCATCCAGGCTGTGCAAGCTTGTGCTGCCTGGCATATTCTCCTGGTCCCCTCAATGTCCCTGACCAGGATACATGCCTGTAAGATGGGTGTATTGTCACAAATAACATAACATAAATTAAAATGTCCAATCACATCTAGGGATACTTCTAAAACTGAACATGTTTAAATATAAATATTAACGTACCACCAACACATATACACTAGCGAAAAGCTTTGCTATTTTTTCCCTCTGATTTTCTGTGCCTTTTAATTTAGGCAAATGTTTTCATATCCTGGAAACATCTTAAAATAAATGTATAATTTAAACTATTATAAGCTTTAATGGAAGGTCAACGTGCAGAATGAACGCCATTCTCGGTTTTTCATGATACTTGGTAGAAGAGGTGTGTGTCTCCAGCAAAGCTGATGTGGTCACTAAGTCATTTCTGAAGACAAACATGACCTTCACAGCAGCTCTGCCTAGCCAGTTTTCGTTTCTCCTTTAATAGATTACAGACAATGCCGTTAGTTTGGATTGTTAACTTGAGAGGCCACATTTCACATTGACTTCTTCTCACTGATATCCATAGTTTTTCCCTTTGGTTTTTGCTATCTACATGTTAGGTTTCATTTTGCATTTTATGTATCTGTACTGTGATCCTTTTTGAAACACGCAGTATGTTCTCCAGATTAAATTTAGGGTGACTGTGTGTCTGGTGCTTATCTCAGGCAACATACAGTAGGGCATGAGAGAGGAGATACCCTGGAAAGGATACCTGTTTGATCCTTTTGTATTATTTTTATCATATCAAAATAACCATTTTATCCTTAAATGTACTGGCCATCCTCCACAGACGCATCATTTCCCCAAACGACACTATAAGATAGTAATCAAGTCTTTACTTTAATGTGTCCAAAACAATAAAACCTTTTGAGTGAGGGTCACTGACAATGTTTGTTATGCCCAATTCTTATTTCCAGGATATTTTACAGAAAGCTTGCAGAAAGTTGGCAGCGTTTTGTTTGTTTAGTTTTTTGATTGCCATAGTTACCAACCGCACGTGGGCGTGTGTCACTGCTGGGCTAAGTTCCTCTCAATCGCCGTTGCTCTGCAGGCAGCTGAGTCCCTCAACTTCCTGGTAACGCTAAGAGAAACGGACTCATTTGCAGATGCAGGTGCCGGCAGCACTCTCTCCCAGATCCGTTTTATGATGCTATCTAAAGTACTGTATAAATGGACATAAACCCAATATGTAAAGCACCTGACATATCATATATCTGGCGGCATCATTTGTCGGCTGCAACTTTGGGCTGTGCCTGAAACTCTTGTACCTTTTATGCTTCACAACGATGTAGCAGCCCCTTGTGGCCAGCTCAGTGCGGAAGCTCCTGAAGGCTCAGTGAATGCTGGTTACAATATAAACTTCCAAGACACAGTGCACTGCATTGGACAAGACTGGGGCCACCTATGGAACGCTTCTAGAATAGTCTACTGCTGGCATGTCAGTTATGCATTTTACCCTAAGTAATTTATGCTCATTTTTATAAGAAATGCTTATTGTTAGTATCAACATCTGATTATGCAAAAATTCCACAGTGGCACATAACAGAAAAATTGTTTATACAGAGAAACCATTCTCAGGGCAGTTTTGTGTTTGGTTTCTTTATTCTTAATCAAGTTTGAATAAATAAATACACCGAACGCTGTGTGCTGAAAAATCATATTTGTTTTGTTATGAATATTTTTGCAATAAATGTATACATAAATTTTATAGAAGTGCACATAAATATATCATAAATAAAAAAAACGTGTAGGCACGAAGCGAGAAATAGTGGTCCAATGGGGAAAATGGATACAAGTAGCTATTGTACTCTGACTGAATTACGACATGGGCATGCCCTTTTGTGAATAAAATAGGTTCTTAAAAGCCTGCTGTCTCAATACTTTGCCAATGGACTATTGCTGAATTCTTGAACCTGTGCCAAGTGCTCCAGGGAATAGGACATTAAGAATGGAGGAGGGTAGAGAATTCTCTATCAGCATATTACTGAGGATTGTGGACTGGGATGTAGGAATCATTAATAGTGGCCCTAGTGCTGACAGGGTTAATTTCTGTTAGCAAATACATTTTCCTGACGTTTCTCTTTTTACTGTGAGTGTCTGTGGATGGGTTAATGGCCAGCTTTCTATATAAAGTCAAAAAGAATCCATTGGTGAATTATTGATGTTTTATCAAAAAAAAAAAAGACAAATGTGTTGTGTACTGCTTTAATGTGCTCCATTAATATCAGTGATTCTAATGGAATGTGTCTACAGTATGATTTGTGAAGATATGAGACAAGAATTGGAGAAGAGTACCGGCATTGGAAAATGTATATATATATATATATATATATATATATATATATATATGTGTGTGTGTGTGTGTGTGTGTGTGTGACCACTGGGCCCTTGAGTAAGACCCTTAAGCCTAAAAATATATGTATGCCTCAAGGAGAGCAATTTGGAATGAGTGAAAACTATAAGAGACATACTGATAAGAATGAGAGGCTCAGACTAACCTTACAAAAGAATATCTTATGGAAGATTT